CATTCAGCAACAGAGCTGTTACCCGTTCTGTACGGAGGAGGCAGACAGCTCGATGCCATTATAGCACGTCAGAAAGGCTCCGCAAGAACGACACCGCCAATGGGATCTTACAGTCAGAAATTGCATCTGAGCAAACTATGCGAATTCCGTTTTGCTTCCTGAGAAACTTGTGGTTGCGCTCACCACTTTCGATCATGAATTGACAATAACCTTGATGCAATATTTATGCATAGCTAACTCATATATAGCTAGGTTTATTCATAGCAGCACCGGTGATTTATCCTAGTATTGTTGAAGAAAAACTTTTTTCTATGATCTGTGGAATTCATAGAATAAATCTACATGTGCATTCATGTGCTACCTAAATGAACTGTTGATTATTCTCATCTAATGCAACTAGACGTAGTGGCCTAAGAAGAATTTATGGTATTCGAACTACTGAGTACAAAATATTGATTTAAGATTTTCAGAAATTATGTTTATAAAACAACGAATGGTCTTCTTAACCTACTTGAAATGACCAAAACAAATTAGAGAAACTATTATTATATCTTTAAATAAAGGTTGAATCTGTCCTATTTTTGTGTATGAACCTGAAAACATTTTGAACAACTGTAGCTCAGAAACTTGTTCTTAATGAATTGTTCCTCCAAAAGCGAGATGTAACTGTTACATAGAAGGTTTGTGCAAAATATCATTCAGGATGATTTTAAATTCTCCGATAAAGCTTCAAACACAAATATCTGTTCAGCGATGATAGGGTATATGCAAAAGGGACCATCAGGAATCCCCAGAAAGCGAATCCAGGTATGATGTACACTTCGTTGAGTAATTAGCGCTATATTTTAACTTTCAGCTTTCATATGTCATCAGGGATGAGGTAGAATCTCGTCATCGTTCTGGTGTGAATGCACTTCAGTATGACCCATCTCTGTCCAGACTGTTTAGTGCCAGTCGCGATTCAGTCATCCGCATCTGGAACGTACATTCCAAGGTACGTACTAAAGTATTGGTAGCCTTAATAATTATAATTCATTCATTTTTTGCGCTAGCAACTCTGACATACGAAAAAGCATTACATTTAAGACGTCTCGTTAGGATGCACAGTATATTTGTTGTGCGCTTTTGTCGAATCATCTGTTTTATGTCGCTCTGATGTGTTACCTCGTACCATAACTGCAGATGTAAATTCCTTAATAATATCCACTCCTCTCACTCTTTCGAATTTTGTTATTAGAGAGTGTTTACCATAACGGCTCTTATCGATAGCTTTTGTTTCCGCTATCGTTTGGTATGCTGATCTCCTGTCCTTCGTCGTTCACTTTTGCGTTTCCACAAATCAGCTGTAGTTGTAAATAGTCAATGATCAGTATTTGTCAAAGCCGTCCTCCATTCTTCATCCAGGCGTTATGTGTCGTAAAGGTTCATTCATGGTTGGCATAGTTTCCACACTGCACTATACCGAAACTGACGAGAGAAATAAGATGTTAATAGTATGCTAATGAGAAAGTAGTCAGAGTGGCCTGTCAGTCATTTAGTTTGCATGGCTGCTTCTCCTTTTCAGTTGCGGAAGCAGACGCGTCAGACAATGTCTCCAACGTTCCCAGTCATATGCCATCGTTTGAGCTTTGATAGAAGATAACCGGAGTCTGGAGCAGAGTCCTTCCATACACTCGCCCAGGTTAATTTTGGCCATCTTCGGGGTCTTCGGCCATTCGGTTGTTTCGCCTTCCTTTTTGGAGGCATTTGCAACACATGCCTAAATCGTCCCATCTCTGACTTCTCAATATGAAGAAGCAGCGGATGCATACCAGGGCTCTCTCTCTCTCTCTCTCTCAGATTTCTGTACTCCGGACCATGACAAGACGTGTGAGGCCAGCAGTTCGTCCCAGAATGACCATTTCATTCTCTTGCTTCCCGAGATCGAAATTTTTTAGTTATGGTTCACATCAAATAACGTATATGAGCATCCGGATGAAGATCGTTTTGAACACATAGAGCTTAGTCTTCAGACTCACCTCTAATTTAATCACATTGTTTGGGGATAGTTTCAGAAGACGCCGCTGGCCATTTCTATTTGTTGGTCGATCTCCTCGAAACCAGTGCCAACAATAGAAGCTCTCAACTTAACGTCGTTTACTCTGACTCGGTGCATGCTATCGGCGTATAGTGACTGAAATGGCTTGTAATAACTGGCCATCAATTCCATGTGTTTGCAGGGGCACGCCAGTAGACTGTTGCATCGGATCAGGTCAGAAGTTTTCTCCAGGTCCAAAAAGCACATGTTAAACGGATGAGCGAACTCCCACAATTCCTCAGCAATCGTGCAAAGATCTGGTCAGAAGCTTTTCGGTCTAACCTTAAGCCACGCTATTCTTTTTGTACCTTAGAGTCCCTTATTCCTCTTTTTTAACGCCTTTGCGCAGAGTGGCCTGTAACACCAGTAAAAATACTTTACAATTTCTTTACCGTAGTATTGACCGTCGTCATCGCCATAATCAGTACCATCCTCTTCGTCAACGTCTTCTTGTCCTGAAAAAATTTTCAGTTTTCGGCGATCATTGAGCAACGCCGATGATTCCAGTTTCCCCGACTTTAATGCTGGATTTGATTTAGTAGATCGTTCGACAGTGCGGAAAATTTTGAAATGGTGTGGAACCTGAGCACGTTGTTTCTGTTTTGGAGGAGATGTATGCGGATACCATGTCTGCTGTCAAAGTCGTAGTAGAGCTATCT